TCCAAAATAAAAACTTATTTCTTGTCAAAAATGTAACTTTATGATAATTTACCTTGTATTATATACAGCGGGTGATTAATAAAATATACATAAAATATGTAATAAATTTTATGAAAACAACTTTCTTATCGAGACAAATTTGAAGTATAAAATAAACAAAATTAGGCGGTTTTTTCTTTAGAATGGTGCATAAATCTATTATCAACTGGGTGTTCAAAGATCGCTTTCTACTTAAAGAACTTATTAATGGATCAATCAAAGTTTTTACGAGAATAAAAACACATTATCAAACAATTTAAATTAGCTATTTGTATATTTAAAGAAACGTTTATTTTTTGAGTAAAAAGATTGATTCAAGTGCCATAAAATAATTCTATTACCAAAAGCGAGGTTAATTCAAAAACTTTAACTCAGTTTTGGTCATGAATTATTTTATTAGAGTCTTTATTTATTAACAACCTAACACCATATTATTAAAACTGTATGCATGTAAAAGAATTGCTCAAGTTTTTTAAAGGCTTTAGCTTAAAATGTTAAGAATAAATATTTCAAACTTGAAATCCGGTTTGATTTTATAATGCATTGAATTTATAAACTTAGTGAATTATTTTCTAAAACATTTAACAGCTAATCCCCTTTAACAACATTTTTCATAATTTTGCAAGAAATGCGGTTTGCTTGCAGACTTTAATAAAGACTGTTTTAGTTTTCCTTTAACAATTAAGTAAGATTTTTTTATTTTATTAATAGTTAAAAAATGAGTGTATTTAATAATAACTCTCAGAAATATATTTTTCTGATTTTTTTTTTGATAAAAAGTAACAATAAATTACTAAAATTTAACCAAGTTCATCATTTGTTGCGCTTTTTATAAACTAAAATAAGTTTTTTTACTATTTTATTAAATGTCGTATGATAAAACATTTTATTTTTGTTTTTATTCCTTTTACAAAACAAAATTATCTCTAATATTTCAAAAGTAATAAATGTTTTAGTAACACCCCCTAAGTCAAAATTTTCAAAAAAAAAACAAGAAGCCGGAAAGCTCACTCTGAAACAGCCGTGGCGATAGGTATATAAACGTTGTATCTGCGATAGGCATATAAATGCCGCCTGTTTCTTTATTTCTGTTTAAGAAAAAAAATTTCCTTTAGTCACAGTTATCTCACATAAGCTAATATAGTGTGAGCTAATACACACAAAGCAAAATTAATCAAACTACAAGGCTTGCAAAACCATGCTTGTAAAGCAATTCATTATCTAGGTAGAATGGACAATCTTTCCAATGCGATGACAAATATGAAAGTTTTAAACTTGGAAAAACTTAATTTATATCAGATTCCTATGTTTATGTTCAAATATAAAAATAATATGCTACCAAATTCTTTTTTAGACATATTTTTGTCATCATTTTCTCAAAGTTATTATCTGCGATCAAATAGCTTCCATAACTATTATATGAAAAAAACTAAACCCGGGGTTCTGAATTTTTAATTATGTCGCAGGGTCCCTAAATTGAAAAATTAAAAATTAAAAGACTTAAATGAAATATCGTCGTTTAAAAACTGCTTATTCTTAGTTTATAAAAATGATTGCAATAAATTTAAAAAAATATATATAAAAAGTAGAAAAAAAATAATAATAAATAACAAATAAAAAAATATATAACAGTAGAATTAACAATTACAAAGTTTACTTAATTAACTATTTATATAGACATAAATATACTATTTATATAGATATAGATATATTTTTTTTAGAGTTTTATACCCAAAAATGCTGAATCTTCTTTGATTTTCTTTTTTAAGTATTAAAATATAGAAAAAATAAATATATATTATACCAGAATCTATATTAAAGTTTGCATCAATACTATATTAATGTATCAATATTACTGTATTTTTATCAATCTGATAGGTAATAATTTTGTATATACATTTTTATTTTTTCACGATAATAAACGTATATTTTATATGATATACCTGGAGAAGAAAAAATAAATAACCGTTATCAAGGCAAATTAGTAAAACTAAAATTAATTTTTTTTTTAAAAATCTTATCTTTAACAATCTAAAACTTGAGTTTTAAATAAAGGAAATCTTTTTTTGTTTAATACAACTTTTTTTCATTGTTTTTTAAAAATTTCTTCGATACATTTTTTTAAATATTACGTTCTTGTACTCTCGAGTGCCGAATACAACGGGGGGTGGGAATAAACGAATGGGTGGGAATTTTAGTCAAAATTTAATAAACGGGGGGGGGGGGGGGGGGAAAGATAGATTTTTTCTGAAATTTAATAAACGGGGAGGGGGGATTTATAGTAGCAGGAGGATTTTATCTACAAAATAAATGTGCGGGTTTTTTTGTTAAAAAAAAGGAACATCTTTTAGTTTTAGTAAACAGAGAAAGAATGTAATCCCCATTGCCTTGACATAAGTCACCTAATAAAATGTTGGATGAACTATCGGTATTTAACTCGATTATTTTCATCTTGATTTTCTAAAGCACTTGTTTCCAAATTTGTATCGTTTTCCTCGTATGTCTGATGCTCTTCATCAAGTTGATTTATAAATAATGTTTCACCTTCACAATCAAATCGTTCATATCCTTCATCTAGCGGCTCTGTTTCACAAGTGTTTTGTCCTTGCTTTCGTTTCACTCCTTTTGGAGGTGTAATTAGCCCCTGAAGATCTTTCAAAATTCTTAGGCTTGGGGTAAGCATAAGGTTTTTCCGAAATGCTTGAAGCTTTTCTCCCACTAAGGCAAATATTTATTCCGAAACTAGATAATCTTCGCCTCGGTCTAAAACATTGGTTACCCACAGTGCCTTAAATCGACTAGTAACATCAATCTCCAACGAATTTCAACTTTTTAGTAGCATTTGCATCATGTGATCCCTGGATGGCGGTGGAATTTTTTTGGGGTCAAGCCTTAATTGTTCTATCATAAGGGTTTGCTCCAACTCTCGGTATTTAGCTTTTAAAGGCCTGTGGAAATCTGTATCGTTAATTTGAACGTCCTCTGTAACACCACCACCTATTCCAACGTAAATATAGCCTTTCTTTAGTAAGGCAGCTTTGATTTCTGGCATTATATGAACACTATAATCATTTAGAACATAAATCCCGTAATTTTGATGTGTAAAAATATTGTGCCTGTTTGGTAAATTAGCTATTGTACTCAGCATATGTTCCAATCAATAGGAACCTTTAGGTGCCCATTGAAACTTCACATCTTGAGGAGGATTAAGTTTAACCCTAACACCTTTGCCTTTAAACACAAACTCTGGTTTAATTGAGACTTTAGGGTCACTGCAAACTTGAGAGTAAACAGTAATTCGTTCTCTTGAAAGAGAACAATTTTCTTTGACGTATGTGTCCAAACCAGTAAAGTTCAAGGTCTTTTGGGTAGAACTTTCATTTCGGTGGAGTGGCATTTGGTCACCATTCAGCACAGGTGGATCAACTCCAAAATTTTCAATAAAGTATTTACGTACAGTCCAAATGTTTTTCAGGTACTCAGATATTCTTTCTTCACGGTCAGCCTGCATTATTTGAAAGCGTTTGTTAGGATGGCGCAGACTGACACCATGCACACTCATCCAGTTATTTAACCAACGATTTGAGAAAACAATTTTCTTGTTCTCTGGCACCTCTTCTCGTTGTTGGGCAAGCCACTGTTCATGTCTACAAACCACTCGAATAAAAGTTGTCTGACGTCTGGGATGGTTAATTTTCGTTCTCCTCCTACTTGACGATACCTTGATTTGCTTGGAGGAGCAGTTACAGCATCTTCATCTGCCTCAACTTGGTTTAGACATCTTTTCCCAAGTTTTAGGGCTTTTGTTAAGGTTGGATTATCATGCTTAATGTCTTTAAGGTCCGAATAAAACTCTCTTACAGCTCTTGCGAGGTATCCTTCGCGTGGCAATGTTTTAACGTGTTTCTTTCTTTTTTCACTAAAGCTGACTTTTTGAAAGTTTTCAGCAATCGATAAATCGTACTCTTTTTTGTAACTTTTACAAAGTTTCCCTAAAGCATTTTTTTCTTCCAAACTGTATTTATCTCGGTCAGTTCTTGAAAATTTCCGATCTGACGCCATGTTACAATATAAATATTTTTGTAAAAAATTTTAATTTATAAATTTAAACCAATATTTTTTACAAACCATGCATTAAACTATTTATGCATGTTCAAGTTAAACGCGCATTTGACTTGCGGTCAAAAGCGCATTTTCTAACAGCTGTAAGGGTAGGGTTAGGCTGTTTTATCATAATTTCAATAGGATTTAATATGCTGATATAATTTTTATACTTTGCAAACTATAAAACTTATATTCAGCATATTAAATCCTATAATTAAAACCAAAGCTTTGTTGAGAAATAAACAAAAAGTTCATTTTTTAGCAAATCGAGATTTAATTGGTCGACAATTTGTAAAACCTGTTTACACTGAAAGTTTTTGTTTTTATCGGTGGCTGAAAATTTTTAAGGCCGATTTTCACTGATTTTTTTTTTTACTTTTGAGATTTTTTTGTTGATAACAAGTAAAAATTTATAAACGAAGGGGAGGGGGGGGGAGGGTCTTAATAAGCTTAGGGTGGGTGGGGAAATATC